ATGGAGGTATCCTCCGGCAGCCTCCTGTTCTTCTTTCTTTGGTCCGGTAATCCAACAACCAGAATTATATAACTGGAAATTATTTACCTCAATCGAGATTGATTTTATCTCGATTTTGATTCAAGATCGAGATTGTGTTCATCATCTTATTAAATTCGATTTCTTCAATGGTTTATTTCTGTTCGATTGAAGAAATATTCTGATACAACTTGCACTTCACAGTCATAAGTTGGATTTTGTTTCAAAAAAGTTAAAATTAGTGTTCATATTTCTAAATCGATAATGTAAATGTGTGTTTGTTTCTTGAATTCATGACTGGGAATGAATGCATATGTGTGTTGATGATTCAATCACAACTATTGAATTATGTATACAATAATAGCTCTTGAATTATGTAATGTATTCTATTAGAATTTATTTTATATAAATGTATTATGTTAGAATGTTTGAGAATAATTGTCAACAACAAATACATTATGTCAGAATTTATAGTTTTTATTCTCTTAGAATGCATTGAATTTTTTAATTTTTGAATCTTGATTATGTTTTCTTTGTGGATTTAGGTTTTGAAGAGACTAACATTGATGTGGAGAAGGAAGAAAACATAGAGAATGAGAGTGTATTATACCAGAATGTGTTATGCTACAATGTATAAAATGTTGTTAAAAAATAATATTCTATCAGAATAGATTAGTGTTTTTGTTAGATTGTGATGTTTTTTTTTCTTTTTTCTTTCAGAATGTTGTTATTATTCAATGAATCACAATCATACAATGTAATTATTTGGTATATTATTAGTTCAAGAATTGATTTTGTGTATTCTGTGTAGATTGTATTTACTAGTTTATGGTTGGGATTCTGTCATTCTGACAAAATAAAATCGAAAAATATATTTACTAGTTTAAGGTTAACATTCTAACATTCTGACAGAATAAAATCGAATTTTTAATTTTGAATTAATTTAAAATATTCAGATTTTTAAAAATAAAGGAATTAATTATCCCTAAAAATCCGAAAATTTCCTTTTTTAATATAGGTTAATTGACTAAAATGCCCTTATGCTGAAATTTGTGTGATTATATATGTTATCCTATTCTACTATCATAGACCCTCAGATCATGACCTTTGATTATATTCCATCCGATGGTCCAGATCTGTGCATTCTGGCACACAATAGTTACTAGAAACAAAATAACCTAACCCTATATATATATATATATATATATATATATATATATATATATATATATATATATATATATATATATATATATATATATATATATATAAACGCACAAAGGATATCCAAAGAGCACCGGTACCAATGAGACACAAAGATCTTAAACCAAAAAGAGAACCACTAAGCTATGTGTTAGGCATCGAGATTGAGGTGCATACTATCTTTAATTTTATCCTCCTCCCCTAGACCAAATTTTATTTTCCCTTTAAACTCTTTATATAATATATTTGGTAATTTGCAAATGGTACCATGGGAAAACTTGTCGTGCTAGTAAGCGAAGTACAAGAGTTGTCCCAAATGCTTTCGGTAAGAAGTATCTTGCAGAACATCTCAAACATTGTTTGAGAAGGACTATACTGCAGCATTACAAACCATAGAACCTTTTGACGCATATTATATGTCAAACCCACATGGTGACCTCCAATATACACTGAAGATAGACTTTGGGATTGGTTTAAGGAAATCATATAGAGGTAAAAATGTGTTTATTTTCTTGTGTAGGAATATATAATTTAGAAGAATGGTTAACGATAACAGTTGCAATATTCATTTACCTATTCATTAAAAATATATATATCCATTCAGGTTAGAGGTAGGGCTAGGGCTGGGACCCCACCTCTTTTACACGTTTTGCAAAAAGCACTAGAAAAGCATGAACTTTTCATATATTATGGCCATGGAGATATTAATTAGACCTAGCAATCCGTGTCTGCGTGTCGTGTATTCATGTCAGACACGAATTTACACGACACGAATTTGTTAAACACGAACACGACACGAATTATAAAACGTGTTTGGGGTATCAAACACGAACACGACACGTAAAAAATTTGTGTGACACGTGACTCGTGGCACAACACGAATAGACACGTTTTTTAGCTGTGTTACACACAAACACGAAAAAACACGAATAGACACGTATTTAATGATTTTTTTAAGCTAGTGCTATAAACTAATTATTGACTTTTACAAAATTGATCCCTAATATATTATAAATATAAAATTCAATCCTAAAGTATATATGTGTATATTCGTGTTTATACGTGTTTGTACATGTCAACACGAATTTGTATTGTAGCTTATACGTGTCTAAACAGGTAAATTCGTGTTTGACACGTGTAAGACACGAAACACGAATTTAAAATACGTATCAGACACGAATAAACACGAAACACGAATTTCTAAAACACATACATGGAAAACTCGTATCGCGTCGTGTTAATCGTGTCGTGTATCAAATTGTCGGGTCTAATATTAATTCACATTAAATTATGCATTTTATTTGTGTCGGTATATCTAGATGTCAGTAAGTTTGATATGCAACTTTGTGTTATGCATCAAGATTGCAATTTATTCGTGGTGACCAAATTGAAGATGTTAAAGGCAGCTCAGTTGTCACTTTATTTGGCTGATCTAACGCATCATTAAAACTTATTCAGCAATACAACACAAACTCTATCATATACCATCATCTAAAAATTTGTTTCCCATTCATTGTGGGTTGCTTCTCCTTAGACAATGGAATAAATCAAATTGAATGAGTATCAAATGACACATAAGAGAAAACAAGACAAATTGTCGATATCCTCACTATACTATAGGGTCGTAAACTACAGTGTCCCAACATTACTTGAAACTAAGGTTAGTTGTGTGAAGGGGGAGAAAAAGACAAAGATGAAGTCAATCTTTTCATAAGATAACCAATCAACCTTCTTTATAAACTATATAAGGTGTAAAACTCATGTATTACATGTGTTAATTAAAAATAAATAAATATATATGTCTAAATATTTAAGAACTTTGGATTTATAAGAAAATAAGAAAAATAATGAATTATTAAATTTTTTTTTATCTTTTAAATTTAAATAAATAAACAAAATAAACTAATTAGCTTTAATTTGGAAATTTTGAAATAAGACGATAAGTCCATTAATGAAATTGATATTCATTTATTACTATATTTATTGTAATTATTACATTAAAATATTATGTAAAATTTATTAAAATAAAAAAAACATCTCATAAAATGACATGTGTAAAAAAATTAATTCAAAAAAATCACAAAATGACATTTGACAAATTGAATGAGTGTGACATGTGGCAAAAAAACATTCATTTATTAGAGTAGATTTTCTGATTGTTAAGAATGAGATTCAATTCGACCCGAAGACTAATGAGCAACGTGAAGGAAACCCGTAGTCATTACTGAAGTATAATTAGTTAATTACCAAAAAGAGGCCACTACCAAGATCATTTTGATTACCAAAGTTCATTGTTTCTTTGAAGTAGACATTACACCAACAATATCATAATCAAAATTGTTGGTGTAATTACCACCTCAAAATAACAATGAACTTTGGAAATCAAAATAATCTTAGTGGTGGCTTTATTTTGGTAATTAACTAATTAAGCTTCACTAGTAACTACTAGTACGCCTCACATTGTTCATTGGTCTCCGGATCGAATTGAATCTAACTCTTAACAATCAAAAATATATATTTTTCATAAAGAAGGTTCAGTGGTCATCTTATAAAAAGACTGGCTTCATCTTTGTCTCTGATCCTCCCTCCACACAACTAACCTTAGTTTCAAGCAATTTTAGGACACCATAGATGACAGCTAACCCTACACTATAATGAAGATATGGACAACTTGTCTTGCTTCCTCTTATGTGCCATGTGATGCTTATTCCATTTGATTTATTCCTCTGTGTAAGGATGTAATAATATAATTGTCTATATCATAAGGAATTACAAGCCACAAGCAACCAACTACGAATGGGAACAAGCTTCTAAAGGTTGTGTTGTATTGTTGCATAAGTTTTAACAATGCGCTATAGCAGCCAAATAAAGGGGCAGTCGAGTTACTTTTAACATCCTAAATTTGGTCACCACGAATAACTTACAATCCGAATGCATAACACAAAGTTACGTATCAAACTAACGACATATAGAAATATCGACACAAATAAAATGCATAATTCAATGTGAAAACCATCTCCATGGCCACAATACATAAAAAGTTCATGCTTTTCTAGCGCTTTCTACAAAATGTGTAAAGGAGGTGGGGTCCCAGCCCTACCCTCCTTAACCTGAATGGATAGATATATTTTTAATGAATAGGTACGTGAAGATTGCAATTGTTACCATTAAACATTCTCCTAAATTAATATTCATATACAGAAAAATTAAAAAAAATACCTCCATATGATTTTCTTTAAACCATTCCCAAAGTCAATCTTCAATGTATTGGAGGTCACCACTTGGGTTAGACATATAGTATACGTCAAAAGGTTCTATTGTTTGGAATTCTACAGTATAGTCCTTCTCAGCCAATGTTTGAGATGTTCTGCGAGATACTTCTCACCAAAGGCATTCAGTATAACTCTTGTGTTCCGCTTATTAGCACCTGCAGGTTTTCTCATGGTAACATGAGAAAAAAAAATTGGTCTCGGGGAGGATGAAATTAAAGATAATAAACACTCCAATCTCGACGCCCAGCACATAGATTAATGGTTCTCTTTATGGTTTAAGATCTTTGTGTCTTTGTCTGTCTTTATTCATATCTTTTTTTTTTCACATAGCAATATCCTCCAATTTTGAGGACTTCATTTAACGGTTCGGGTTCAAAATCGGAACATAAACATTCCCCCAAAAGCATATGCTTCCGTGCCAAACAATTCATGTTCCAAAGTCTTGAGGGAAGAACGAAAAAGCTTGAATTAAATTTTGCAGTAAAAAAATAATCGATTATTCGATACCAAATTCATTATATCCCGACTTTAGAAAAAGTTGCAGCTGCTCGTCTACAATGTTACTCCTTTGTCCATAATGCATGTCACTTAAAATCTTCTGGTACGGCTCTGCAACAGCAACAAAATCAATGATGCTCCCATCCTAAGGACACGACCATTCATTTATATCAAAAGCCGTGAAAGAATGTGATACTTGTATAAATTTATCAAATTAAAAATTCAGCTTAGTGCAAGTAAAATTACAAAACAGTTCTAAACAAGTTTCATTACCTTCATCAGGTGTTACGTTCTTGATCGGCACAAGTATGACAGTGGAGGCATCTTTGGGGCCCAACAGTAACAACATTATATAATCTTTGTGTAGCAACCCCTCAAAACCACTTTCATATATGCTCATACAATGAATCTGCACAATGGGGAAATTATCAAAAAACTTCATAATATAATTTTCTAAATATGATACCCCTCTGAATTGGGGTTAAGAAAATCATGAGCTTGCGTGCTTTATATTACCCTTGAAAAGGCAAGAAAATCATGAGCTTTCGATATATCCTTGGTGGAAGAATGATGCCCACGGGATATGTGATGCCTCTTCGCCAAACAATGATTTACATGAACATGGGTATTCATCCACAAAGATGGAAAAAATTACACTTAGCAATCGTGAAACCTGTGATGAGATTGTTAAATGCGAAAGACAAAAAAAAAATTGAATGTGGATGTTTGTTTGATTTTTCAAGAAATAAGAAAGAATGTTACATATTGTCAGGACCTCACGACATAGTGTAAATGATAGTTTTAGTCCGTTCACAACATCTTCAATTGTAAGGTATTTATTATCATGTATCCCTGGAAAACAAATAAAACATTAGAAAATCACTTTACCTTATTTTTACATCAATGTTGAGGAGGCCCTCAAACTTTTCATGCTGCTACTAATAACTCTTGGTGAAACACTTGGAGTTGGAGACTTGTGGATTAGGGATACTGAAGATTGGTAGTATTGTTAGATTAGAAGTGTCATTGGGCTTCCCTAATGAACCTTCATAACATGTATTATCTAATGAAGGGGTCAAGATTTCTCTCACCAGCGGTTGAGGCTGCATCAGCAACAGAATTGAAGGTAAAATGTTGCCTAAGGATGGACAATGAATCTCCAGATGTTTGTGTACTATAATTTCCCCCTTTTTTGCATTTTTGTTTGGTGGCCTTATTTGTAGAATAAACTAATTTGAGACAGATGACGACAAAATTAAATATATTCCTAGATGTGTAAGACCGGCTTTTGTACGATTTCTTAAAAAAAACACTCCCCAGATTAGGATTAAAAAATAAGATCATTTCTTAGAAGTTTACCTTCACTCCAGTATCCGAAGATCAAGCAACACCATTTCCATAGGCAATTCATTCCGCTTGAGAGAATTAAAGGGAGGAGGTCTCGGTGGGAGTGGAGATTTCAGTTTACTGGCAGCGGCGGGAGATGGTTTACCTGTAAACGATGGAGAAGGAAGTGAATCTGGAATGGCGTTGACGTTGGAGGTGGAGCATTTTCTTTGGAATATTTCTGTTTTGGACTGAAGATTTTGTGCTGTTTGTTTTTTTTTTAAATCAAAATATATACAGCGGATGACATCCGTAATTTTTAGTGTTTGTTTTTAACGTTGCCAGTTGTTAAAATAAATTGAATTTTTAAATTTAATTTCATATCATAAATATAAAAATTACATTTTTAACAAAAAAAAAAGAAAAAAGAAATTGCAGGTGGTCCATTTTTTTTGTTGGTTTAGGTTAAAATGAGGTCTGAAGACCTTTGAAGACAGTGGCCCATGTCTACGCTAGGAAGACCTCGCGCAGACGTTTTCTGATCTGCGCACTTCCAAAATACAAATAATCTACGAGGGCATATGTTTGTGCGTTGTCTGCGCGGCGCAGACAAAAGTGGTTGCGCAGATCTTCACACAGAAAACAAACAGCCAATTACTCTGCTTTATTTAACTAGGGTTTAGTGGTTGCATAACGCTCTTTCAATAATAATAATAATAATAATAATAATAATAATAAATAGTGATTAGGGTTCCACCAACAATTACCGAGAAATTATGAGATGCCAACAAAGAGAGGGATGGACAGGTAGGGAGAGATGTAGCCGTTTGAAAGGGGCTTTGGGCGGATCAAATTGGGGATCCACCAAGCTTGTTTTTTTTTTTTGGGTCGTTCTTTGCTTTACCCAGTTTAGAGTTTAAGCCGAGTTTGTTTAGCTTTTAATACCTATTAAAAAGAGGCACCTCTTAATCCATAAGATTGAAATATTTTGGTTGGCACTTAATTTATCTCTTAATCCATAAGATTGAGATCTTTTGGTTGGCACTTAATTAATCGATTTAATTAGAAAAAAATATCTAACCGAATCAGATGCACACTCACATCTGAAGAAAAAAGATCATGCGTATCTTCCAATCCCTACCCTTGTTCATCCTCCTCTCCTTTTCTTGCAGCTATCAAAGAACACTAGCCTCCATCACTCCTAGCATCCCGTCAAACTTTATAGAGGACCACCGCCGTTATCGCACACCACTGGTGCACATTGTCGCATGCTCCTTTCCTGCCATCGTAGTTCTCCTTTTCCCTCCTAACCCTCTCCGACGACCTACAACCCTCCGCAATCGCTTCGCCATCGGCAACAACATAGGTAATGGTTGTGTATTGGAATCGACTTTATACTAGGGTTAATTTCTAATATTGAATTTCTTAATCAAATTGTATGCACGAGTTATGTTTATGAATTTCAAGAAATTCATGAAATTCATAAGGCATTAAAGGTTTACGGTTCTCTTCTCACATCTGAAATCGAATTTTGTTTGTAAGAAATCTGAAATGGAAATTTGTTTAAAGTCTTTGATTTTTCTTATTCATGCCATTTCGCATAGGTACTATATAGTATCATTGACAAGGAAATTGAAATTGAAGGTTCATTTGATCGGATACAAAACAAATATAACCACAAAGAAAGATGATAGAAAAACAGAAAAGCAAAAGAACAAAGATTGCAACAAAGATGGTTTTTCACTAAGAAAAGTGTTCTCACAAAGAGAAATGTGCACAAAGCGGTCACAAAGATGATCACACAGATACATTAGGGTTTGGCCCTAATGCATGACTATATACGATTAAAATAAACGAAAATCCATTTATTTTAGGGATGTAATCTAATCTATGTATAGTCTAATCCTAATCACTAAGATTACGGATTAGATATCTATTTTATAAATACAAAGCTATCTATAATTACAAAGTGTCTAACCGACTCATATACAAAAGAATCAGACTATTATATAAAAGATCACGTCGTCATTGATACTATGCAGACAATGGCGCTGATGTTGGTGCTTGCGTAGGCGTTGGCACTGGTGCAGACGTTGACGTTGACATTGGTGTTGGTGTAGAAGCTGGTGGACAACATGTGAATAATGTTTAACTCATCAAATCATAAGGCATGGCTTTAAAATCTCCCCCTATCTGATTATGTCAAAACTAAAAACTTTGCTTTCAACTGCATACTTGAGCTCCCCCTACGAATATGAATGCTTCTGATAAACTTTGAAAACTTTTGTCTATAGCTCCCCCTAAGAAGGTGTATGACTCTCCCCCTTTTTGGCATCAGTATTATATTTGGGAGACGTAGAATCATCATAGAATGAAGGTATTCGCATGAGACAAGTACAATCTTTACTTATAAAACAATCTCCCCAATTATCATTAGTCAATGTGGGGAGTTCTCAAGAGAATCACTAACATCTCTAGTATTGTCTACAATGGTTATGATGTGTTTAATATTTACCACATCAAATTCAATTTTACTAAGTTGTTTCCCTAGGGACTTTGTTAAATTAACCAAAACTTTAAGATAAGAAAGCATTGATGCTTGAAAGTTTGAAGAACTAGACTCACCCTGAAATGTAGCAGTAGTTTAAGGAGTAGAGATCAGAGGAATAGAAACAGTAGCTTATCATGGAGGAGATAGAGTAATTTTATTAGTAGATTGAGCAGGGGATGACTGTAAAAGAGCAGTGTTAACTTGAGGTGAAGATTGTTCTTGCTTTGAAACATTGGAAGGAGGAGAGGATGAAGGAGAAGACGATGGAAATCGAATGTGCTTATTTAGACTTGAAGTGTAACTGTAACGACGTGAAAATTTAAAATAATTTTTTCATTTTTCAAACAACATAAAAATCATTTAATATTCTCAAATTACATGTTCAAAAGATGTTAGCATAATAAAACATTTCCCAAGATCACAAAATTAGAATCCTCTATCAGTGTGTACGGATCATGTCGGCGCCTTCCCGCGATCCTCGCTAGTACCTGAAACATATAACACATAACATTGTAAGCATAAAATGCTTAGTGAGTTCCCCAAAATACCACATACAACACATACGCCACTTAAGGCTACACCTCTACAAGACCTTCCGGTCAATGTGTCTCAGGGGACTTCCATCCCATAATCCTGGTAAATCTTCCGATCCCACTCCTCTGACCTTCCGGTCCGTATCATCTTGACCTTTCGGCCTATACACTGTTGACTTCCGGTCCATATCATAATATGCATAACATAACATAACATATGCATATCACATATCATCTATCAACATATATCACATACTCTTCATATCAGATAAGACCTTCCGGTCACATATGTTTACCACTCTAGGTAACGTATAGTGAGAAGACTCACCTTGTTTGATGTTTAGTAACTCACGTGTTCGATATCCCTGAATCTCGAAACAATGTCCTAGCCCCGCCTAATCACATAAAGTAATTATTTCAAATCATTAACGACTCTCAAGGCTAGACTAATTGTAACACTGAAATTTTTCAAACTAAAATTTTCATTTAAAATCGCTTAATCTTAAAAAAAATTCGTAAAAATCTAATTTTGATTAAATTACAAAACAAAACTCCATATTCAATTAAAAAATAATCCGGGATCCTCAAAAACATAATTCTTCCTCCGGTGTGTACAATTGAACCGGTGTCATCTCGTGATCCTGAGAGAAACTTGAAACACATAACACATAACACTGTAAGCACGAAGCTTAGTGAGTTCCCCAAAATACCACATACAACACATATGCCTTTCCA